GGATAGAATATAAAATTTAAGGAAGTGTTCCGTCCTTTTCCCGCGCATCTTCTTATTACAGCTGTCCCTGTCTAAGCTTCCCTATCAAACGAGGCAAGTTTACCGCCCTAGGCTTAGGAAAAGATAGACAGGCGTGTAGGGTTGCCACTCTGAATAATGCAATAAATTTTCGTAGACGCTTCGTTAAAAATGATTTAAGAGAATTCCTATTGAGAGGCGGACATTCATTATTAGTGTAATAATTTTATCGTACAGCACGATCTTGATTTCTATATAGATTGAACATTTTAGTACTTATAAAGAAATATCATAAAAGCTTATTACAAAAAATCTCTAATAATATTAACCGAAAAATATAAACAAATGTAAATGTTTGGACTTTATTAGTTTGTTTAGAAAACAGCTTTAGATATTATACGCTAAGTCAAGATAAGTGAGGTCTCAAATGGGTATGGCATACCCAATCAGGCCCTTACGCATTAAAGCATAATTGGGTATGACATACCCATACGACATCTTAAAGCAAAATATTTATCAAATCCGGAAACAAACTGAAAATATACTAAAATCCCTAATCATACTGAATTTACTAAATTATGTGTAAAACTGAGCACCCTTCTTGGGCGTTGATTTCTTCCCTACGACGTTTTTATTTCGTCAATTTCCCGAAGATTTCCCATTGAAGGGAAAGTAAATGGGAGCCAGTGTATCGAAACTTAATGCTCTGGGGAGGGGAGATTGTATACCTATTCTGTGAGAATACAGCTTCTATACCTTCGTTTCAGACTTCAGTAGGTATCAGGTTTGAAGTCCAGAAAAAAGTTATATATACAGATACGGATATACATTATAAATTGACTAACAATATTTTGAATAAGATGCCCAATTCTATCGTAATTAAATCGTGTTACCTTTTATAAACAATTATATATAATTTTTTCAACTTCTAAACAATTTTTAATTAATTTAATTTTAATTACAAAAATACTTTTCTTGAAGGACCAGGCAAGATAGTGATCTGTGCTTGACAAATTGTCGTCACGATGTTTTCCTTTACCGAATTACGGTGTTAAATGCGTAATCATAAATACTTTTTTCTTAATGATTTATACCCTGGATAAGCGCTAAAGCCACTGGGACAACACTGCTCAACTAGTTTTTTGATGTTAATAAATATCAAATATCTCCAGTTTAATGATAACGTAAAAATCAGTTTAACATTTCATACGCCTTTATGTATTCTAAAAACAGGGCCTTCCCCAAGGTGGAGGAAGGGTGGCTCATTAAGCGAGCCATCCCACGGGCCATTATCCGCTGCCCATTCCAATTCTATTCCGTAATCAATGTATTTCGATTAGATGCCGTACGATTTAATTAAACCTGTGATTCCGTCTATGTATTTTATACATGCTGTGGAATATTATTTGGTTTACATTGAACTGTTTTATAATGTAGTTTTACACGTGTTTGGCGACAGATCTGTATATTAAATATACTTCTTATAAACTGCAACAATATAAGAATCTTTCTACCAACTTTGATTTTGTAACCTTTGGGTCGTGGAGGTCAAGTGCACTAATTAAAGATTTAAGTTTGCGCCTGGTAGATAGTACCGGTGGCCGGAGCTGGTGCTTTTTTCGCTTACAGAATAAGTATTGCAATACAGCGAGGAAATGCCAGCGTTAATGGTACATTGCCATAGGGACCAAACAATATAAATTTATTTTAATTTTCTAATTATCCATTTTTAATAATTATTATTACTATGTAGGTTAAGAATATGGCAATGGATGTGTTATTAAATTTAATTAAAATGGTTTAAATTTTAAATGAGGGATAATTTTTGTTAAATCGACTCATTAAATTATTTATTTATTTACACTTCCTTGCACAATTTAAATAATTGAATAATAAGGAGGTCAACGGAGCCTAATCGCGTTCGATGTATGAAAATATAGTGGCTGTTAGTTAACTATTGGGATAGGACTTAAGCGCTTGGGGAATAAGACTTGTTTTTACAGATATGTCTTCGCCTAACATATAAATATATAGATACTATGTTAGGTGTAGAAACATACTTGCTCTTTATAAGAAAGAAAACATAATCAAAGTGCACAATGATTTTCCAAACTCCCTAAAGATTTCGCAAACTGTATAACGTGGTAGAGATGTGGGGTCTCTCTGTATCTTCCACCGCATGTACCACGGACAGAGTTCAGAGGAGTTGTTCGGATTAATACCTGCAGCTGAGTTTCGTCATCGGACGTCGAGGCAAAATACAAAATTCCATCCGTAGCACCTCGACGTCTGTCGTTCCACAACTGAGCGATTCAATTCGACTTAGGGTCCTTGAAGAAATGAGACCAATTCCTGAAAGGCCGCCAAAGCACTCGCAAGCCGTCTGGCATTGGGAGAGTCCATGGGTGGCGGGATCTCTTAACATCAGATGAGCCTCCTGCCCATTCGTGGCATGTTCTATTAAAAAAAACGTGGTACTAATGGGTAACCCTGTATGGTCACGGCTCTCTGCCTTAATTAACAATATAATTATTTAGCAACGCTGACCGCTTAACGGTCCCAAATCAATTTCTAATCACAGTAATAAAAACCTAGTTGTTATTACAAAACTGCTACACCTTTGAGGTTTAGTCAACTTTTTACTAATAAATACTACATGTTTCACTAACCCAATGCTCTTAATCATATCTTCTATAGTATTTTTATAGTAACAACTAGCTGATCCGGCAAACTTCGTTTTGCCATGTATATCATTTATAATAAAAATAGGGGTTGATTGTAGAGGGCTGAAAATTAGGGGTTGTATGTAATTTTAATGCTGTATCATAAAAAAATTAAAAAATTATTGAAAAATTAAAAAAAAAATTAGGGGTGGACTAACCTTAACATTTAGGGGGATGAAAAATAGATGTTGTCCGATTCTCAGACATACCCAATATGCACACAAAATTTCATGAGAATCGGTCAAGCCGTTTTGGAGGAGTTTAACTACAAACACCGCGACACTAGAATTTTATATATTAGATATATATAATTCTTCTGTGAGTGTGTATGTCACTGAACTTGTCTCAAACGACTGGACCGATTTTGATGAAATTTTTTGTGTGTGTTCAAGGGGATCTGGGAATGGTTTAGATTCACAAATCAGCCCGGCAGATGGCACTGCAGTCGGTACTTTCATACTTTGCTTAATATCCTAATCGCTTTAAATATCATGCAGGACAACGTCTGTGGGGTCCACTAGTATATTAGATATTAATTGTAATAAGAAACTTTTTGGAACTTGAAAAAGTAGCTGAAAGTAACGCCATTGCTCTGACATTTACTTTTAATAATAATAATGACTTAGGAATAAGTATTACTGTGGACTATCAAGTAGTAGTTAATAATGTAATATTGGCAAATCTAATAAACTGCAAATATGTAAACTGATTTGATTTTGACGTTAATTTATGAGCTCTGTGACAAATAAAGACTAAAAATACGTACTAATTTACACCCAAAACACGATAATTTTTACGTTCATAAGTTTACAGTTCAGAAATAAGTTATCTTCAAATATATACATTTTGACTCTGACGTTTCCAAACAACAAATTTGTTGTTGTTGGTTACAATGTTGATATCTGCATAAAAAGCACTTTATCCAGTTTTATAATAATTTAAAAGTAAAGGTTCTGTTTAACGCGAAGGGCAGGTCGTAAAATTAAAACGACATGTGTTTTACAAAAACCGTCCAACATATGTAAGAAATAGGTAATAAAATTTTACGATTATTAAATAGTTAATAAAGGTAACATTAATTTATTACTTAAACCATAAGGACTAACGAATTTAATTATCAGTAGCAGCGAAAAAAACAATTTAGTGCAATAATATAGAATTACCCTGTCTGTGATGAAATTAAACGACCATAGAACATAAACATTCTTTTTTCAAACTTGGTATTAATTCTCAATATGTTGCAAAAGTTTTGTTTTCTGTGTATTCATATTTTTAGTTTATATAATTAAATGTTTATATAATTAAATTGTACCTGAATCTGCGCACACTTGTGTTTATTTATTTAGTTATTAAGCTTACGACATCACACACAGTACTAAATCTACTAATTATTTTACAAAATCTTACATCTAAAATGTGTGACAATTAATGTAAACATAAGTTTCACAAAAAAATTAAATAGAAATTAAAAATTAAAAAATACAATTAAAACATATACGATAATACAAGCACACAATAAAATAAAATAAAATTACAGAAATTGGTGGCACTTAGCCGAAAAAAAAGAAAAATCATCAGCAAAACAGCAGTGTTTGTAATTAATCTCCTTCTAAACGGCGGAACCGATTTTGGTCAAATGTGTGAATGCAGATTCGAGAATGGTTTAGATTTATAAAAACATAAGTCAAAGCAGTATTTATTTGCTATATTCAAAAACAAATTAATCGGTAAATTAATCGTATAATTATTTCCGGCAATCTAGTCATTTGTCATTATTTCACCTTCAATGCAACGACTAACCGGAGAAAGTATAAATTAAAGATCAATTTATAATATTAATCGCGTGTCATCACTTTCATTAAATTTCACTAGTACGGAATTTAATAGCGAGAAAATCATTTATTTTATAAATTATTTGCATAAAAAATTCTCATGGTCACTTCTAATTAACCTAATTAATAATATTTCAAAAAACTACTTACTCATATTCATTAAATCAAAATTAAAAAGTTTAAATTTTTTTTTAATTTCAGTGGTTACGATTTAGTGTATGAAAATTGTTATATTTTTTTTAATAATCAACTAAATTAATTGATCTAACTTATAGAAATATTTAAAAAAAATGTCTAGACGATTTTAGTGGTCTCGCTATATGAAAAGTGTTATAATTTTTTTAATAATTAACACGATTTAATTAATAATATTAGCTAATAACAGACAGTTTGTAACTTAAACTTACTAATAACTTATTAATCTTAGGTCTGGTTTCAAAATCGTCGAGCAAAGTGGCGGAAAAAAGAGCACACGAAGAAAGGCCCAGGTCGACCAGCTCATAACGCACACCCGCAGTCTTGTTCTGGAGAACCTATCCCTCCTCACGAATTGAGGGCCAGAGAGAGGTGAGTCACTTACAGGACGAACTCTTAGGAGAAAATGGTCTACGTTCAACATAACACTTGTACATTTTTTTATTAAAACTGCATTAATACAATCAGGCAACATAAATTATTAAGGAGGTAACGGGCAATCTTTTCCAGGCAACCCTAGCTCTACTATAATATACGAGGCATTTTAAAGTTTTTGCTGTCAGTACTGATAGTACCGTTATAGAAATATATATATATTATATATATATAAATATATTATATAGAACTTCGAAGTATGTACTATCTATACATTGTATTTAAAACTTATGTCTTATATACAATTTAATACACTAACAAAAAGGTTGAAATAAAATTTAATTGTTATAATTAATAATTTTAATGTGTTATAATAATTAAAACAATCTAATTCTTTATTAACTCTTAAATCACTAAGGTTTTCTGTTTGATTTCGGTTCACCATTCATTTAAGTTAAAAATATCTACTGCAATAAGTGATAATAATGCAGGCTCTTGGCCTCGAATTATAACCGTTTCTTTGATCATTTTTATTTCATAGACAAGTAAGTGATGCCTTCTGTCTGACACATGTCAATTTTTTTACTTAAGACATTTACGATGTTTTCCTTCTCCGTAAGAGCGAGTGTTAAATGCTCACATACAAAGTCCATTGGTGCACAGGATCGAACTTAGGACCTCACGAGAGTCACGCTGAAGACACTAGATCAGAGTTTACCAACCTTTATTGTGCTATACCCAACCATATTGTAATAAATCAATAGTAAATTGTTAACAAAATACAGTAAATAAATTTTCAAAACATATAATAAAAAATTTCCCCCCTTGTGGAGCATGGGCCCAGGTTGGGAAACACTGCACTGGACCATCACATATATATTTAGTTGAAAATTTTTATTCTCTTTTGTTATTAGTAACTGACGCCTCTTAATAATTTCAAATTATAATTTCAACCACAACAGCTGCTAACTGATCTTGTAAAAAACAATTAAAGTTACCGTTTTAATTGAAACACCTACTGCTGATAAAAATTGTTCAAACATGTTATTAAACGTTATACACGCAATGAATATTTAATAAGCAAACTCAACTCCACAGCCTTTATAATAATCGTAACAACCATAAAATTAGGTTCTATACTAATTAAGCCCTATTTGTTTAACCAGGGCGAGAAGAAGAAAGAAGCTGGCAAAAGCACTTGAAAGGCAAGCAAGAAAGCTGCGGGCGAAAGGTATAGCAGTGGACCTGGAAGCCCTAAAAGCGGAGTACTTAGCCCAGCATAGAAACACAGGCCTCTATTCCGACTCCGATGGTGAAATCGATGGAGAAGAGTGTATGATCGATGTGGTAGGGGGTGATTCTTGTCATGACTCCGGTCCCGAAGACTTTTCGCTAGCTGGAAGACTGCGCGCACCATCCGGCGGGGATGGAATCAACAATTCTGACAGTTCAACATCAGATGGCCATTCTGGAAGGAACTTCAGCCCATTACCTGACCCTCAACAGTCGTTCTTCAAACATTTCGGCGCCGCGGCTAACTTCGATAAGTTTGATTTTGATTCGGGCCGAGCGGTGTCCTTAGACCTGAGTGGGACGTCGTCAGAGCAGGGTCTGGCGAAGAATGGAGGAGTACGAAAACACAACCCGTTCAGTATAGAATCATTGCTTAATACGTGACTTTAATGTAGGTAAGGGTTCATACTGGAGTTGTTCCTTTGTTTCCCAACTGACAATTTACGAACATAATCTATAAACCAATCCTTTTAGAAGCGCACATATTTTTACTACATACAATTTAAAAATGGAACAAGCAAAATCAAACAAAACAAAACTATTGATTCAAAGAAAATCAATTCAATTGTTTGATTTCCATTAGTGCAATAAAATCGTCAATATATAGATTATATTTGGTACAGACTCGAAGAATCTAAGTTCTTTGTATTATGTTCGTATTTTGTAAGAAATAAAATATCATTAGATTTTATCAGCTTAATTTATAGACTAGCGAGTACCAGTTAACATATCCTTGTGAATATTAGTTGTATTATATAGATTTACTGTAAATATAATGTTATTTGGGGCAATGAAAAATTATTGTTAATTTTATAATTTAAATTTTATTGTTAATTTTTTCTCTATTTATTTTTACATAGCTATTAGATATAAAATAGGTAATTTGCTGGTAGTTTAAGCTCTATGCCACTATTCATTGATTTTAAAAGGGATTTCGGGTACCTCTCTTCTACCCTGAAGTTTACTGATTCTACTTACGAACTTTAAACGAAAACAAGCCTATGTACAATTTTTTTGAACGAAAACCCTTCAAGACCACTTTTTAAAAGACCTGTAACGTACTAGCTAACTGCGCCGGTACTCTCCCAATAGCGACCCCATCTTCAAATTTGAGTCTTAGTTCCGCGCATTCTATGCTACGGATATTGAGTAAACTACTTAGAAATTGCATATGTTTGCATCGATATTGGAGTTTATAGAGAACCTATCAAAGTTCTTACATATGCCCATGCGGCGACCATCCAGTGGGCCTTCTAGAAAAAAATACAATTTAAGGTATATTATGCTCACAAATTGTATCCTAACGCTCCCTTTACACTCATTTTAGCAAGTTCGTGTCATTAGTGACAACCAGCAATTAGCTTTATTGCGAACATTACAACATAATTACTTAACGCTGTCGGGACAGATTTAAACCTGTAACAACGAGAATAAAATCTATTTAAACTCCGAATTAAACTAGCAATTGTGAATAAAGTAATATAAATTACACTTAATTAAAACTAGAAAAATTACTTTAGTCAAAAAGATTTTCGGAAAATTACATATTTAGTTGCAAATTTCTTGACAGTTTTCATGTTTTCAAGCTTTAATTTAATCTTTTTTTATAGATACTTTTTTTATTTCTTTGTTTATGGTTTATGAGCGTATAAATGGAATTGTAAGCGAATCATTTCAAATGATTTAGGTAGAGGTTTTATTCGACTATTTCAAATGCCGTGGTATAATTTTCGTCATATTGAGACAATATCCGATAACTCCGCTTATTCGTTCCAAATTTATCTATGAAGCTTACGCAAATGTTAATAATCTGTCATCATCCTTAAATTATATTGTTTTGTTTATATAAAACTATAAATAATAGAAAACTTTCCACATTCTTTACTTAATAACAATAACATGAAATAAAAAAAGATTAGCGTTTTATTACTTTGACCTAAAGTAATAAAACAATTGCGCGGAATATTAATTTAAAAATGGCGACGGGAGCACAATTACGATTGGCGAAAGAAATATTATATCGGGTCGTAAAATGTTTATATCGTAACGCGATAAGGGTAATTAGTGCAACAATATATGAACGCTTTACATCAATTATGTATTTATAACTTTTAATTCATTTATTGAACTGTTTCTTTGCGATCTCTTTTTAAATTATTGTTTTATTTTCAAATATACATGTTAAACACACAAAATATGTTGACATGAGAACTTCCTCACAATTGAGCAGCCCGCAATTTCGCAGCACACAATATATAACTTCCGAGTGGACTTATGATTGTTATACTTTATATAAATATATATATAACTAGCTTCTCTCGTCTCTGAATAAGTTGACCAAGCACTTGGTTATTTAATATAGCTCTTTTAGAAGGTTCGTTTTTGTCTATTCATTTTATGGGAATTTTACGTCGTTGACAAATACTTAAAATCAAGTTATTTTGTTTTGTTAATTATCACTTAGCTGTCCTAAAGCGTTGCGCTATACCGGTAAACTTCTGGTTGCTATATTAAACCTACCAGCTACCAGACGTAGCTTAATAAACTACATATTATTAGAACTAACACATCATACATACATACATACATACATACATAAAAATACTTGATACGGCATCTATACAGTGTAAGGCCCATCCTTATCTATGCTGTGCTACCAGAGCGATAGTCTGTATATTTACAATACAGAATTTCGGTGACCCAAATTCCATTTTTGTACTATATTTTAGTATAAGTAAAAATATTTAACATTAACCTAATGTATGACCAAAATTGACTTAACTAACAATAGTTAGTTGTAAGCCTGTACTTAACTTTTGTATTTTGTTATTGCTCACCAATTTGAAATATAAAAACATATTTAGTCTAAATCGTTTCTTAGTAAAATCAAGCTACTAATCTTGTACTTCGATAGAATTGTTTCTTATGAGTAAATTCCGTATAACTCGCGAGTTAAGGTGAATCTTTTAGTATTTAATTCAATCAATTTAAGTCACATAATATCATCCGCATTACCTTGATGTCTTCAACGATCCGCTTCACTACGCATTTTCTTTTGTAAACTTTGGAATGGACTCCTGGTGAAGGTCTTCCCTGGGAGATACGACCTCCAATTGTTAAAAAAGAGAGTGTACTTCTCCCTCAAACGCCAGCAACCCACTAAAATGTGTCCAAATGCTGCGATGTCTGCCTTTATGTGCGTCGCGTATCATATAAAAACCCGTTTGTACTATGTAAGATATATGCATTGATTTCTTGTAATTGAATGCATTATCAATGGTATTATTAGTCAACGTTGTATATTTCAGATTGGTGCTATTTTGTATGGAATACTAACAGTAACATCGAGTCGATATTTACCTAAGTATAATTCAAATTGCATTAAATTTGGCATACGATAAATCTCGACTAACACCCTAAATCTCCTGTAAATGTCGATGTAATAAATAGAATATTTTTACAACAAAAAAAAAATAATTCCCAAATAATGCAATAAAAATCGAAAATTGTTTTAAGATCTCATTGAATTTTATGTAAATTGGTTTGGCTTGTACATTGTAGTCGTAATATAGGTACAAAGTAAATAAGTTTATTTATATAATAGTAGATCGTGATATAAACATTTGTAAATTGGATATCACTCTGTAAAAAGTATGTTATATAACTTATTGAATCAAAATATAATATCTTAAAGTAATTTATCTTCTTTATTTACCTTTAGCCATCCATGACTATCACAGCAGCTGAAGATTCACGTGTCTCTTAAGACTTTAAGTTTAAACCAGTGGCGCTATAACCCTTGGGGTCGTAGACTTCTGTTTGTTTCGTGATATTTTTTTATCTAACACGAAAGTTGGTGATCAACCTTTTGTGCTTGACACGCGTACGACTTTTTGGTCGGTCGTACGTACGAGTACGAGCCCTACTAGCGAGTATTAACAAATTAAATGCGCACATAGAAAGTTTATTAGTGGAAGCCGGAAGCCTAAGGAATGAGAGGCGCACGCTAAAGTTACTGGGTAGTTTTAAATTGACGGATTAAATATGAAAGGAAATTATGCAATTTAATCTCTCTCACATGGAGTACACCTCTCGGCGAGCTTCCCAGTTAGACCTCCTTCTACTCGACCGTATTCAACGAAAAGTGGTTCGAATCGTCGACGACCCATCTCTCTCCGAGCGGCTTGATGCCTTGGTGTTCCGTAGAGATGTGGGGTCACTCTACCTCTTCTACCTCAATTAACAAGGAGAGTGTTTAGAGGCGTTGTTCGTCTTAATACCTGCAGCTGAGTTTTATCATCTGCGAGGCAGAATACGAAATTCCACCCATATTACGACGTCCGTCGTTCCACAACTGAGAGTCATTTGCCGCGCAGCACCACTATGTAGAACCACCTTCCCACTGAAATATTTCCGAACCAATACCACTTAGGGTCCTTCAAGAAAAGAGCATACCAATTCTTAAAAGGCCAACAACGCACTTGCCCTCTGGCATTGAGAGTGTCCATGGGCGGTATCACTTAACATCAGATGAGCCACCTGCCCGTTTGTTCTACATAAAAAGTACAAAGGAAATATTAATTCACCAGTATATTAAGAAATTGACACAAAAATAAATAAGCATCTGAACGCACGCATAAATATTTGACAACCAATACATGAATCCTTATATACAACCATTTTAATATCTGGCTTATAGATGTATTTATATATCAAGTATCTGAAATAAAAGGCTTTTATTATTATTATTAAGACAAAACATAGACAACTTTGAAATATAGACACAGAAGAAATTTCACTACTTCATAACTTTAGATTTTAGCAATATGGCATTGTCTGTGAGTAGTTGTACTCGTTGATTTTCAACATTACTTTAGCTTACCATACCTATATTAAAAAATTAAATAAATCAGTGGCGCTACAACCTTTTTAGGTCTGGGCCTCAGTTTTCTGTATCTGTTTCATGATCATCAATCTAATAGTCAAGTAGGTGTCCAGCCTCCTGTGCCACACGCCGTCGACTTTTTGGGTCTAAGGCAAGCCGGTTTCCTCACGATGTTTTCCTTCGCCGTTCGACTAGACTTTGTTTATGTGCACATTTAACATTCGCACATAGACTTTAAATTGCCACTTTTTTATTTCATAGTACTTCTAGAATCTAGAGTAAAGAACGGAGAGCAAGCGAGTAATGAGAAGAGGTTTTAAACATAATATTTTTTAAATAAATTCACAAAATACCGCGTACTTTGACGTCGGTTAAAAGTTACTCGTAATTATAACTGCAACGAATCCAGATGACACACACGCGGAGTGTGGCTGAATTTTTGACGGGTCTCGGATTTCAAAGGGTTCGCGATTTAGCGAATAATTTGAGGATATAAAAT